CTAGGTCACTTTTTGGCGGGAAAATTTTATTTTCAGTTCACTTCGGCAAGATTGACTGATTTCGGCTGGAAATAGATAAAACGCGAGTTTCTGCAGAAAATAGTGGGCCATAACCCGAGCCTCCGCACGAATTTTCCCGACAAAAAGTGGGCTAGAATCTCCATTATATAACTACTAACACGGGACCGACGTTTTTCCGTTGACATGAAATAACGCGTGTTCATTTGAAAAATCACTTAGAGTAGGCGTTGGAATTTCATTTGACACAAACGATATATTCTAAAACAGTTTCCGTCACATATCCATCAAATGTCATAAGAAAAATATAGATTACAATAAAAAATATGTATCATTAATTGTCTCGAAATTACTACGATGTCATTATCTTTGTGGAATATACAGGTTGGTTCAGAAAAAATTCTTATATCTTGAATACCGGAAAAGATATTGAAGTCCTGTAAACGCCATTGTTTTTAGCATGAAGGAGAAAACTTTATTTAGTATATTGCAAATATGACACATATATTTTTTTAAATGCAACGTATATTTTTTCAATTGATATTCATAAATCATCAAACATCAATTTACAATTATAACTACATGTGTACAGGATGAGTCACTAAGCGCGCGGTGCTCCATATCTCATTAATTATTATTAAAGATACAACAAAAAGTCAAGGCCAAAGTTCTATGGTTCTTTAAGGACTACACCCTAAAATTGTATTTAAGTATACAGAGTGTTCGGTTTTTAAGGTGTCACGCACAACTGAATTTTTTTAAGCGAAACACCCTATATATTTTTACATATTCTTACTAGCCTCTTCCTAGGCTTTATAACTTCAGTTTATCTTTGAAATTCCGATGTGACGTTGCCACGTTCTTCCAATTTTCTTGAATTTTTTTGGCAATGGGTTCACAAAAAAACGAAATAAAAAAATAGGGTTGTTATTTTTAAAGTATTTCTTCACAATATTTTGTGGAAAGATAAATAAAGGTGTGCGCTTTGTTGTGGTATCTACTAAATAAAATTTTAATACACCTACAATGTGTTGTGAAAAATTCTAAAACTTCACAATTATCAAATTTCGATATTTTAGTTCTTTCAAACAGAATGTCCTATATTTTGTTATTGTATCTTACTCTATTTTTTGTTCGCATTCTTCTAATAAAGTAAAAAATCGCAGTAATAAAATATAGTGTGTTCTATTTGGAACTACTAAAATATATATCGATATTTGAAAATTGTAATAATTAAAACAAATTATAAACACTATGTATAGGAAAATTTCATTCCAATTATACCACATCAAAGCGCGTGCCTTTGTTTATTTCTTTACAAAATATTGTAACAGATATTTTAAAATAAGCCTCCTTTTTTTTGTAACCCTTTCATTGCTAAAAGATTTGAAGAAGATCGGAATAACCTGACGACGTTGCATTGGTATTTCAAAAATAAATTGTACTAGTAAAGCCTGAAAAGAGGCCAATCAAAATATTTGTGTAAAAATATATAGGATATTTCATTGAAAAAAAACAAAGCTGTGTTACGCCTTAAAAGAGAACACTGTATATAGTTAAAAATAATTTTAGAATATAGTCCTCAAAGAACCATCCAACTTGTTAATAAGATATCGTGGAACGCACGCTTAATGACTATACTCTAAAATTTATTTGTGACTATACAGAGTGTTCTGTTTTTAAGACGTAACACACAAGTTAGTTTTTTTTTTAATAAAACTATATAGTGTTTTTAGACATTTTTAAGACATAACACACAACTTATTTTTTTTTATAAAACTATATAGTGTTTTTAGACATTTACAGCCACAGTTTATTTTTTAAATTCCGATGCGACGAATGCTTATAAAAAATAATTACACAATTTTCAAATACTTCAGTTATTTCAAATACAACACCCTATATCTTAGCGTATGTTATTCTATTTTTGGGTCTCTTCCTTTAGATTAAGTATTTTCTATATATAAAATTGACACATCGACATATTAGAAGAATGAGAACAAAAAATAGAACAAGATATAGTAACAAAATATTTCTATTTGAAAAAATAGATAAGTTTTAGAAATTTTTTCACACACTCTGTGTATTAAAATTTAATGTAATTGAACCACAGGAAAGTGCATACTATTATTTATCCTTCCACAAAATATTGTAACACATATTTTAAAAACAACCCTATTCCGAATTTTTTGTGAATCTTTTTATACACAAAAAATTTTAAGAAAATTGGAATACACGGCAACGTGCCATCAGAATTTCAACAATAAACTGTAAAAGCCTAGGAAGAGGCTGAGCTTATGCAAAAATATATATGGTATTTCATTAAAAAAAAATCTAATTTGTGTATTAATCTTTAAAAACAAAACACTCTGCATCGTTAAAAATAATTTTCTGTCTGTAATAATTGACTCATCCTATATATTTTCTTAGCTGTTTATTTTGTTTCCAGTAGGTAAAAAATTAAATTTTATAAATATATAATTGAAGTTCAATGAAATAAAATAATATCACTGCCTTTTACAAACAATTAGTGAGATGTGTGTAGAGAGACAAATATTCTTAATTCATTTTTTTTTCGCTTTCGCTTTTCGCCGACTCTCTACTTTTACGTTTTCTCGGCCATTCATGACCCTTAGAGTACGAAGAAATAGGTCTCCCGTTTCCGTCTGTCTGTCTGTCTGTCTGTCTGTCCGTATGTCTGCCTGCCGTCCCGATTATTATTAGACAGATTGTTTCCGAAAGTACTGGGCCGATTTATTGTCAAATTTTGTATTTATATTACGAATATCATGTAAAACGCCACCCAAATTTTGTCTAATCATCCCCACCAATAATTTGATGACGTCATTTAAAAATTATACATAGTATGTAAATGGATTTTAAATTGTATAAAACGACATATTCCTACACATGTACGAGTAGTTTATGACCTCATGATTGTTGAGTTTTTACCCGAAACGTCCAGATTTTTGGAAACAAAAATCAAAATTATAAATCTAAAATGTGATGAGCGTGTGATTCCAATTTATCATTGCATTCATATTTTTTGGATTTGCTTATACAGGATGTCTTTAAAAAATTAATGACTTAGTCAATATATTTTTTTATTAAATCAAGGATTACAAAACTGAATACTTTGAAATCTTGCAGACGTTATGAAGTTACTGTAAGCATGGTAACTTTTTAATCAAAATATATCTGTTTATCAACTCCAAAAAATTCATAACGTCATCTCAAAATTTTTCCTAATAAATTCTAGCCAAAATGTGCAAAATATTATGACTTTTGTTTGTGATTTATCATTGCATTCATATTATTTAGATCTGCTTAAGTACTGGACCGATTGTTGTAAAATTTTGTATTTATATTACGAATATCATGTAGATGGTAGTGCTGAAGGACATTTTATTCCGTTAGGTAAGTGCTTTAAATAGATTTTACAATTGTCAGCACGGCGCAGAGTTTGCAGGGGCGTTATTTATGCCGCAGGTTTTTAATTTACAGAGATTATTACAAAATGAAAATTTGTAAATCAAATTTTATATATTTTTTATAGAGCTGGATTTGTCCAATTATACTTCAAGGGCGAGCGAAGTTTTGTCGAAATAACTTTCGACCAATTTTTTAATCTTCCAAATCACGCAAGGGTCTAACATACACCAAATCTTATATATTATTATATGACTACAAAAATTAAAAAAATATAAGGGGGTTAAATCTGGACTGCCAGCTGGCCATCGATCTCAATAGGATCTCTATATTGTTGACCCAATTTTCATAATAAAAGTTTTCGCCATATATGTGTTAGATTTGCAATGTGCTGAATTATGTTTCCCTCTCCAAGCTAAAAACAATCGCGTTTGCAGAATTTCAATATTATATGCTCAAGCCATACGGCCGCCGAGTTTTGTTTTATCTGGCACGCCCTGGATTGTTGATAGACATAGTTAAAAAAGGTAAAATTTTAGGGTTGGAATAGGAGGACGGAGAGTCAAGGAAAGAAAAACATAGAAGAGTACAAAATATACATTTTGTATAGGTATTTAAAAATGGTTAAATTACTCTTGTTTATACTGCCGCAGTACAGAACACTATCCATATAGTAAATGTTCCTTAGAAATACTAGATTCATAATAGGAAATAAGAAAACACTATTTTATAATTATACTGAAACTGTCTACACCCGGTTTGCTAAGTTTGGTGGATGCGCCGGGTTAGGTGAAATCTCTGAGAAAATCATTTCAAAACAATATTTTCTGTTATTTTCAAATTACTGTGGCACATTTTACTGTTTATTTATTTTTACATACACATGTAAGGAACAAACAACATATTTGTGCCATAATTTAAATAAACGTATAGTAAACAACAGCTATTCATATTTCGTCATCCTCAAATTGGAAAATCAGGTTAACGCGACAGCTGCACTCATACACACACTCATTCCACATCATATGCCATCAAATGCATTATTTTCGGCCCCCTGAATATTACCATAAACACCCCAAAGCAAGAATTAAATAAAACCTCTGCACTTCCGCGTTTTGCTTAAAGTCTGCCGCAACCGCGTTTTCCAATCCAATTTTACCACCGTAATGGAAAACCAACAGAAGGGCACCATGTTTCAATTACATCCATTATCATGGAAAATAAAAGAAACGCTCTTGAAATACAGCCAAGATAATTTCCTAACTTGTCAGAGATTCAAGAGCGACAAATGAACGACAGACAAGTTGGTAATTAAGACGCGGTAACGTTTTCACTAAAAATAAACGCAAAAGGAAGTTCATCTAAGGCGGTGGTGTTCTCAACCTCAGCGACTTTATAATAATCAACCCTTAAGCCAAATCGGTGGAAAACTGCGTGGGAACTTCAAAGCTCCGAATATCGCGCATATCTTTCGGAAAACAATCGCGCCGTCGAGATTTAATCTACCCTTCGGCGACGAAGATATTGAAATATTAAAAAATAAAAATACGTACTTTATGTTTGTAACTTGGACGGAATCTAGGTGAGTCGAGCACCTTTCACCTTCTTTTTTCACAGTGATTTTCACAAAAATCTGATTTTTGTAGACGGATCCTTTGATGCTGCCGCTGACGTTCGTATCCTCGTATTCGCATTGATATGCTTCATATCCGTGCTGGAATAACAAAATAATGACAAAGATTGGCAAATGGATTCGTAAATAAATTTGTATTAATCGGAACGTAAAATGTTTTGTGGGTTGGGGGAATTTATGGAGGCGAAGTTTCAGCTCTGTTCGGCAGTATAATGAATCTTTAATAGTTTCCGCAGACAAATTTGTCTTCAAGCGATTGTATCAACTTATGAATTGGTAAATAAAAAAATTTAAAGACTTTTGTCGCTTTGCATTAAATGTACGTAATTGTGAATTCGCATTCGTTATGTGCAGTAGCATTAAGTTTTAATGAATTTTTTAACAATCCAAGAGGCTTTGATTCATATTGTTGGATACATTAAAAGAAAAATAAACGTGTCTGATCAGCAGATTCTACTACTTAGTGTAGTTCATGGTAGAGGCGCTAGATTTAAAAACACTTTCCAATCATAGAGAAATCCACAAAAAGCGTCGCCATCCCAACTCGCTAGTGTTCAATTAAAAAAGTCATCAATTTGGCCTTGAGTTTTTGTAATTACTGTGAAATATATACGGTTCAGGATGTTTTTAGACAAAGGTAGACCATATAAGTAAATCCAGTAATTTGGTTGGCAACCAGCTTCTTATAGGCAAAGATCCCTAACGAAAAATGAAATTTAATTACATCTAACAAAACTATAACACTCTCGCCACTAATTTCACACTTTGTATTTTCCATTCCAATAAGTACAATTCAAAGCACTGAAGTAAACGAGTATTATTTCGGTATTTAATAAGCATAGTTAATATTATCAAATTTATATCACATTTGAATAAATAGTAATTAAGTTTTAACTTTAATAAGTAATCCGTGTTAACATTTTTGATTATATTATATTATATAATTTTCTCAGCAGTTAACACAAAATAATGAAAAGGAGTAAATAACTGAATAATGTCTGCATCGCTTTTGCATGTTTCTTCTGCTTCAGGAGCGTTGATCCTAGTCCTAGTTGATGGTGCTCAAAATTTGAAATACATGGATCTACATTTTACTTAAATTGTACCGTAAATCGACACTATTGTCGTTACTGGGCTCGCGAATAACCTCCTTAAGTTCAAGCGGCACACACTCAACGTCTCCAAAAAAATAATGTTTGGGTGGAAATAATAAACACAAGATTCATTACTTTTTTCGCGGAAGTTTAACAGCAGATCGATAGTTAGATCATCTTGGAATTGTAGTGCTTCCGGATCTAATTGCTACGATTCTTGATTCAGATAATCCACAAAATTTAGTTCGCAGGATTTGGTTCGAACAGGATTTGACACCACCACATTATGGCGTAAATGTAAGCATTTTTTTGGGAAACCAATCTGATGGAAGGTGTGGATTGGATGCGTAGACCAATGGAATGGCCACCTTGGTCTCCGGATCTGACACCCTTTAATTTTTTTATGGGGACATTTAAAAAGTCGTATTTACATGACAGACCTGATAATTTAAACGACTTGAAAGCATGAATTCGTCACGAAATATCTCGTATAAGTCCCCAGAATATTGAAAATTCCGTCAATCAGGTCTACCATCGTCTGGGTTTGTGTCAGATAATGAATGGGGAACAGTTTGTTGTTTTGTATCTTTTTCTACCACATTACTCAGTAAACGGGCACACCGTTTTTTCTTAAAATCATCAATTTTCAATATTTTCAAAATTATTAACAGGAACTTGACACTTGGAATATTTATTTTTTGAACACATTTTAGCTACCTGTTCATTGAAAATTCATGATTTTAAGAAAAAAGGTGTGTCCGTTTTTTGATTTATGTGGTAGAAAAAAGATGACCCGCCCGCCCGCCCTAACTCCGCCTTAATGATCCTTCTTATTCCTCATGAGCTCAGGGCGAGCGAAGCTTAGATGCAGCTGAAATATTTCTGTTGAAGAAATTACCTTAGAAACTTATTTTAAATAATACTTTTCTAAAAGCAGACTATCTCAGAAAACACTAAACGAATTGGCCCCGCCCACTCATCCCTTCTAGCCTAAATGAGATTGTTTATTTATCGTGAAACCAGAGGCGGCGCTTAATTTCAAACGACGATTTTTTCTAGAAATACCTACCTATATTTTGAACGCGCGTCGAATCTGTTCATTAAAAATTGAAGGTCTTAAAAAGAAAGCCCGTTCTTTGATTACTATGGCAGAAAAAAGATGTCCCACCCACCCGCCCTAAACTCCTTCTCAATGATCTTTTGATCCCTAATGAGTTCAGGGCGAGTAATCAATAAAAGGCTACACCTTCTTTTCTTACAATCATCCATTTTCAGTAAACAGGTACTTAAAACGTGTTCAAAATCTAGGAATTCCCACAATAAATTCTCATTTGAATGTAAGCTCCGCCTCTCCTTTCACGATTAATAAGAAACTCATTGAGTAGAGATGTGTGGGCGGAGCTTATTCGTTGAAGGTGTTTATCAGAATAGTTTGTTTTCTAACATACATTACTAAAAATACGCTCTAAAAGACAAGTTCTTCTACAAAAATAATTAGTTTGCGTTTAAACTTTGCTCTGGGCTGATGAAATAAAACAGTTTATTAAGCCGGAGTCTAGGGCGGGTGGGTGGGGTATCTTTTTTCTGCCACACTAATCAATAAACGGGCAGACATTTTTTCTTAAAATCATCAATTTTCAATAATTTCAAAATTATTAACAGGTACTTGACACGTATTTTAAACATAGACAAAGCCCACTTACAGAATATTTCTATAGCATAAATTTTAACTCGAACGTATTGTTCTATTTATTTAATAATTATTTATCATTAATATCAAGTTTACTTTGTGCGTTATTATTTTTCTCATTTTTTTTTGTTACGCAGTCCCTACGTGAAGCTAAATTTTCATATGTAGAAAAATAAGCTTTATCAAATAGTGCAATCAAAAGTATCCCTTGCTATTTAAAAAAAAATATTTGACGTATTTTTTTGACACAATAAAAAAATAAAAAGCTTGACATGTTTTTGCATTTTTTTTTCAAAAACAGATACTGCGCATTTTATGAAATTTGTGTATTACTTTATCATAACCCTGTATATATTTAGAGTATGTATAATTTTATCGATTCCAAGAAATCTATTTTCAGATAGTACACTGCCAGACAAAAAAAACCCGGAAACTTGAATTTTTTGTGATTACCTGCAATTGGTATTTTGTAAAAATATTCCAAAAGGCAAATCATTAATGTTTTCATTAATTATATTATATATATTTTTTGTCTGGTAGTGTATAATACACGTCGTATTAGATTAAAATTTTAAAGTAACAAAGTTTTTAATAACAATTTTTAATCCTATTTTTTAAATTATTTGTGATAGAATATTTTTTAGTCGCTTCTTTATTGTTGAAATTATTGTGTGTAAGTAGAAATTTAAGTAGTAATAAGTACATTATACCCTGTGCAAAACAAAATGAAGTCTGTATGAATAGAATAACCTTACGGGCGCTGAGTAAGGTTATCCTATTTATTTCCAATAAACATTTTGTGTTCATACAGTATCTATGGTATCATAATAACTTTATTTTTTTTTGTTAGTGTTGCTATTATTAAATAAAGATTATTATTTTTGCGTATTTTTAAGTGTTTACTCTTCCAAAAAGTGACGTATTTCAAATTTATGGTATTTATTAACAGATAATGGAAATCCGTTCTGTGCGTTGTTTTATTTAACAAATTTTATTTCATGAGCCCCTTCAGAAAAAAAAACTCTCTACACCACTGTTATCGACAGCCACATTTGGGTGTCTTACATGACACTTTGTCAGTTTGGCTCAAAACCACGATTTTAGGCCTCGTACTCCCTTCAGTATATTCTCACCCCCATGAGAAAATCAGTTGACATAACCTATAATTTTATAATGACAGGCTGTGCTCTGGCCAATTAACTGGTACATTCCGTGCGAAAAACATATTTATCTACCCTAGATAACTCCCTAGGTACACTCCGATTATTGAAAATTTGATATTGCTTGTTATTTATGTTTTGTGAACAGGTAATACCGAGTGACTATTAATATTTGTTTTTTTTGATCAGGTTGGCAACCTATTTAAAAATTTTTGACAAAAGACATTTATGGGAGCTCCCATCCTTCTCCACCAATCAATACGTTTATTAGGCGTGCTCATGTCAAAATTAACAACTGTTAACTGACATAGTACTAGCACGGATGCCAATAATTCAGAATTGCCAACACAAAAATTTGCTTCAATCATTAATAGGTACTAGTATGTGTGTACAATAAACCTAAATTTTAATTATGACAGCTGACAACACGTAAACGCCAATTATATACCGGGTTTTTAGAAATGATTCCAAGGTGTATTTAGTTGGGCATGGATTTCAAAAATCCGCTTCGCTGAAATTATGCCTCACCTATGTAACCAATCATTTAAATTTATTGTTCTAACGTTTTTTAAGTGTGAATCACTATATTTACTATGACGTTTAACCACAATAAATTTGTTTCTTTTTAGTGCAATGAATTTTTTAATAAGATATGAAGAATTTAGGCAACCAGTTATACAGATGCGAGTGGTATCTGTCGTCAGTCCTTGAGTGTTTAGTAAAATACGCATAAAATTATAGGCGGCACACTTCCATCATCACTTATAATCGTTTATAGAAACCCTGTACAACAATATGGATTAATAAAGTGCATACATTTTTCGCTACGTTTTCTTGTATCAAAAAAGCAACGCCAACTTGATCACTTTTTCAATTGAACACCCGTTATCGAGACCAGACGTTTGCGGAATGGCGAAATAGGACAAACATTAATTCCTTTTTTGATAATGAAATAGTAACATACATGTCAGAATTATCCAGGAGTTTTAAATCGTCAACACTATGGAGTCATTACTAGATGTAGAAAAGTACTCTACCTTAAGCAAAATGTAAATATTGGTAAATACCCTTTATTTAAGACGAAAAAATGAAAGGTATATTCCAATAAATTGCAAGCTAAATACAATACATGCTGTCAATTCAAAATGCAGCTACCCATAGAGCTATAACAAATAATAATAGCGTCATAGAAAAATGTTCAACGGATTCAGTAAGAATTGAGTTTGGCAACTTAACAAATTGTAATATTACTATTAACAATATGATTATTACAAGAACGAATTACAAGAAAGTATTATTTGCTGTTATTTGGTGTTGTACAATAAAACAAATTAATGTATTCTACTCTTTTTAGCTTGCCCTATGTAAACTCGTAGCAAAAGCATAGTGTGCAACACATGCGTCAAGAATTTTTTACCCCCGTGTGATTTCAAACACTCGCCTGCTGTTCGTGTCGCAAACTACGTACTTGTGTAGAAAATTTCACGCATTTCTCACATAATATACTATTTTGTCAAATGTTTAATATCATATAGTTTTTTCATAACGCATCAAACTCTTTCAAACTAAATTCTTGAAACAAATTTTTCGTCATTTTTTTTATAATTAACTGTATAATTACAATTTTAGTTTATCCTGATAAGTTAAGTGGAGGTGGAGGGCAACCAAGGTAAAGTTCCATCACCTGTCAAAGATATTTTATCCACCGACGAAGCAATCAGTGAGGTCGAAGGAACAATTCATCGATTTTACAATTTAATTCTTTCTAACTTACCCGAATCAGAGAAAAACACTCAAATTAAACGCGATGAGAATGACCTGATTCGTGTTAAGAAAACCGGCTTTTACGGCGATAATGAAAATGAAGGAAGTATAAAAATTATGCCTTGTAGTCGATCGGGTAAGTTTATTAATGAACAAATACGTTCTATGGGAATCTCGTTTGCAACTTCTCAACATGCTTATGAAGTATTAACAACTTATACACGTAAGGATATCACAATAGAGCTTAACTAGGCGTCAGTAAAATCAATGTTTTTTTAACAAGAAAGAGGGTGAGACTGTTTTAAAATATTTAAATAGAATGGCCAAAATTCAAAAGATTGAGATAAAAAACGCTTAGTAATCCAACAGTCGTTTACGACACCTCCGCAAAAGTCAAGCTATGTATTTAATTACCAAGATGTCGTGGGTTTAAATACTAGAATAAGTATTTTATTCAGAAAATTAAAATCTGGAAAATTTTGCTCGAACTCTTGGAAAACAGCACCATTGTTGTAATTCCAGTCTCCCTCAATTGCAACGGTAGTACGAATTAATCATAAATGCTGTGTTCCACAGAGAAAACCATTTTACACTTTTTTTTTTTTAATTCGAAAGTTTGTTGTTTCAAATACCAGTGCGGCTGAACTTATCAAAGATGATCAAAATCTATCAATTTAGTCTCCGCAGCCATACTGATAATTAAATAATTAATGAAATCAAGGTACTTTATGTCGACTGTAGGTATATTAGAAAAAGTATGGGGCCTGCAACGGACTCCTGTGGAATTTCACTGTGTACTCTTGTCCCTTCTACCTCGATGATCGAGCTTGAGCTGAAGCCGACATTTAGGCAGCTGATCGAAAGACTTCGCGAAACCGAGACGTCAATCAAATTTTCGCAATCCTTTTCCCTTGTCCAATCCGATAGATAGAAGATTTAATTGTATTGACTTCTCTGGCAAGAATCTGTGCCAATCATTTGGGATTGGTCTATGATCTAATAAAATCGTGACCATTTGGCCAAATATTATTGACTCTATAACTTTTATTACGATATTTGACTCAACGGTGGTTTGAGTTGGATTACATGGTTATTAAAAAAATATGTAAATCACATAATCTCTTTCCTTATTTCGGGCATTAAAAATAATTGAATTCAAGGTAGGCATTCCTTGGAACAAAATGCAATATACAGCAGTTCTATTGAAGAACATAAACATAACATTATTACCACGCTAGTGTGGTAGTTTACTCGCCATTTAGGTATAAAAACTTGTTATATTCGTTTTTATTTTTCCTATTTTTATTAAATAAAAATACCGTCGAGAACCCAGCGCACTGTCGATCGTACATTTTATTCCCACACATCCTTTTAATCAGCAGAACAATACAAGACTGTTGCGTAACTACAAAACGTGATCACAAACATCTTTTTTTATACGTTTTATCATAACGATGAACGATGAAATATTTATTCTTCGATGTGATGAAAACTGCTGTCTTGTCTACTATAATAGAACCCATTGATGTACGTTATGTATATAATTTAAAAGCTAAAGCTTCCTGTGCCAACCTCTCATTTTTCTCTCAAACAAACTTTCTCTTTTAAACCCGCTTCATAAATATTTTTAATGCTGTCGCGAAACCGATCTTAATGAAAACCAGATTACGAGGATTAAATTTCGCTATCCATTTCTTACCGCCTCTCAACACATTCCTCCCCTGACATTAAAAAGGACATCACCCGGCTTAGTTTCAGCTGTCTACAAATCACTGCAAATATCGTAGCTTGTGTTTGTCTTGCTTCAAATTAAAAATAGCTAGTCAAAGTCGCAAAAAACCAAAAACATTACAAAACTACCAATACCCAACTGGCAGAACTGAAAAACCTGAATTTTTGTATTCGAGACGCATTAACAACCGGAATTTTTAAAGCATAACGTAGCAATTTAAACTTAAAACTTCACGGAGTGTATTTCGTCTAGTTCTAAAGACCCGACTTACTTTGAACTCCCTCAAACTGATCCCTCCATATATGGTAAGTTTGTGTTTGTCTTCGTATAAACTGAAACTGTGTAGTCTCGTCAAAGTGGCGAGGTCCTGTAGGAACCCCTCCGCCGTTGTGAACGTTCCTTGCTGCACCCCCGACGCCTTCCCCTTGTAGACGACGTCGAAGGGTGGCGTTTTCACCACCCTCAGCTCCTTTGCTACCAGATAGTCCTTCGCCGAGCACAAGAGGGAGTCCAGAAGTTTATTGGCCCTGGTCGCTTGTTCCTTCACGTACTCCCTGAAGAAAAAGTCTCAATTAACCGATTCGTGTCGGCGTTATCACGCATACAAAACGCTTGATGATGGCATAAAAGTGCTTTTAGAGCGACACTAAAAACGGCAATTTTGTTTCTAATCAAGCTGAAAATTACCTGTGGACATGGACGATACCGGCTCTTTATGGCACTGAGTCGTTATTATTATTATTAAGTATTTGAAATTGGTGGCGGCGTTATTGGCTCGTTATCGCGTGACGTAATTGATTGTCGAAAGGTCGGTTAATGAGTGAGGTGATTATTAATGGAGGCTGCTCATCCGGTCGCCATTAATAAGGTTTTTGTTGCTGATGAATGTACCCGTTGAGGACTTGGGTGAACTTATTCTAGCGCTGAGAGTAATTAAGGATTTGGGAGGTTTCGAGTTTATGAGGTTTTTTGGAGTTTTATTTCCTTATTGGGGGATTTTTTAGAGACGGATATTACGATCGTTGAGAAAATGGTATCCGAGAACTGTATAATATGTGTGTATAAAATTTAAGCAATGTCTCGTGATTGTGACAGTTATACTGCATTCCAAGTCGTATTGTATTGCAGATAATGTTAATCAAAAAACCTTTTTCTGCATATATATACACCGACATACGTGCACGGTATGTAATTTTTTGTTTAACTAAAATGTCATTAGCGTCACAATAACGGAGTTTTTACTGCCATTTATTGGACATTTTATTAAATTACCGAGTTGAAGGGAAATTCATGACTCGGAAACTTCTGTAGAATTTGAAGTAGAAACATCCGACGAAACAAATGGCAGCTCATTTTTTAACCGATTCTTTATATATTGAAGTTGTTTCTGACGTAGATCCACCCTGTAAGGGTTTTTGTCCCAATTTGTTTTTTTAATACTCAAGTAAGTTCTATATTGGTATAGGCAACTCTGTACTTGACGTACTTGTCTCGGTCAATTAGCAGTGAAGCTAAACATCGCCTGAAAGTATAACCAGTATATTACTCACTAATAGGTAAACGAAAAAACTATACAATCGTCTTAGGAAAGTTCCCCATTTTACATTATATTTATTTCCATTCGCTGAAAAATCCATTGTTCTTTTTTGTATATATTCTTATATGTGTTTTTACCTTAAATAATTATTATTCCTTGTTTATATGTACTTGCTGTTGAGTAAAAATATTTTTGACTTTTTGAACAGTTTCCGTTCTATAAAATTATTGTTTATTTAAAGAGATTATGTAATTAATGTTAAATTAGAGAACAGTTAATTTTGCTTTTGAACAAAAGCGGCCAATTATGTGCCAAATATCGTTTAATAAGGCTGGCAATAAACAAAAGAAAACCTTCTTTAAGTAGTTTACTTCGATAAAATATTCAAGTACATCGGCCGGTGTTGAGAATGAAAATAATACTAACGATAAAATAACAACAATAAAATTGACAAGCTATAATTTTCTGTGTATGATTTACTAGAAATAGTGGGATACGTACATAATTGTCCATCAGACAGACTTATTAACCTCATTTTTTATAAGCAGACTTTAAAGTTGTTATTATTTACACTGAAAGAAATTGTATGCTGCCTCATTTGTGTGAACAAGTTTCGGAATACTTCCTAGTTAAGCTCTGCTTTTAAACCAGTCATATGTACAAAACTCGTACACATGCAATTACAGTAATAATTTAAATTATTTTATACTCATAATTATTTTTCTCTTCCACCTACAATTTTTATGGTGGTAAGATGTAATTTTAACCACTCGTAGGTCATTTTTACTTCCCAAGCGTAAGTTAAGGTAGTATACTAATCGAGTCCATCGGACAAATGGCCACTTTTATATTTTCTTGACGTTTCATGGCCCCCCTACAGTACGAAAAAATAGGTCTCCCTTTTCCGTCTGTCCGTCTGTCTGTCTGCCTGCCTGTCTGTCTGGTGTCTGTATCTGTTTTTATTAAACATGTAATCTCCAAAACTGCTGGACCGATTGTTGTCAAATTTTGTATGTATATGTATTAGAAATATCATCCTCACCAACAATTTGATGACGTCATTTCAAAGAATTCTTTGTTTATTTGATTTAACTCTTATATGACAATATACTCCTGTACGTGGGGTGTACGAATCCGCTTAGAATTTTTTCCCTAACTGTCCAAATTTTCGCAAATGTGTGTGAAGTGGCGTATCGGGTGAGTGTTGGGAACGCGGACGGAAGGTCCCGCGTTCAATTCCAAGTTAGGCCTTTCGGTTTTTTTTCTCTCTTTTTCTCACGCATTGTGAATTATTCATGTTTATGGCGTCATAACAAAATTTTTATTGATCAAATTAAGAACGAGTCACCCCACTTTCTTGAAAAGATGAGAATACGCCCGTCTTTATAGAATAAAAATTATAATCATAATATTCAGAACATTCTGTTCGACGTGGCTGAGTCAGTAATTTTAGTCCCCATTCAAATCAAAACAAATTTCTACGTGACATTCTTCGGATGTATAAACAAGCAATTTGAAGTTCTTGTTTATACATCGGAAAAAGCTTGTGTTTATTACTGCTGTTAGGCCGTTGGTTGGTGCAGGGGCTGCGAGAATTTTGTTTGTGCCACCGGTTTTTATTTTACAGAGGTTATCTTAAAACAAACATAGCAAAATATAATTTTACAATTTTTCAAAGAAGCGAGGGAAGTTCTGTCGAAATAAATTTGCACCAATTTTTACCCATAGTTCAGTCATTTCTATAACTATGAAAACCGAAGTGGAATTAGAAATGCGAATATTTACTCTAATATTCGCTGACTCACGAAATTTCCAATTAATTGGAAAGTAAACTGAATGTTGCTTTTGAAGCTTCTAATGCTAATTTTTGTGGTACAATTACCTTATCCATTGTAAACGAAGACGCGTTTTTATAAAAGCTTGACGTGGAAATTAATAAACAATAGGTAGTTGCTATGTAAAATCCACAGCCAAATACTGCATTGAAAGGTTGAGGAATTTTATTATTTTTAAATATTAAAAAAAAAGCTAGAAGTATAAAATTTTTTATTCCAGTCGAAGGTAAACGAAAATTTACGCACTCATGAAATTTAATTTTAATTTTTTTAGGCAAACTTTTCATTCGTGAGTAAATTTTGATTTTACCTTCTAGAGAATAAATAACTATATATTAATTATGTGTGTTTATAGGACTACATTATGCATAAAATTAGAACAGCAAGCGGAGATGGCCGATTGTCATAATTATTTGCGATTATGCCTGCTTGTCTTGATAAATTGCCTATTTTTTAATGTAAAGAAGTATTTCTTGTTATTTTGTAATTAAAAAAAGACGAGATTTTCTTAATAAAAAAAAACGATACAAGTACAACTCAAATATTTCAACTTTTTAATTATAAAATTAAAATAACCCTTATAATTTAAAGCAGAGATGTGTATGGATTGCTAAAGTACAGGTGTAAGGAAAAACTGAATGTATCAGAGATCGAACGCCTGACGTAAACTACAAGTACAGAAATTTATTTTATAAAATTTGTACGGCTTGTAATAAACAAAATGTTGAGATGACATTATCAAATTATTGATGGGGGTGATTGAGATGATGAGACAAATTATTCTACACAATACTCCTAAAATACTGTTACGGATATTAAAAATCGACGTGCATAAAACTCAGCAATTTATTTCTTAGTAACTCGGATTTACACGACTAATTACAGAGCGATTATGTACAAAATATTTCCGGCGCAACATTCACTGGGTTTTCTCGACACTCACTCACTCCACTCGTTGGACTCGACTTGTTAACTGAATTCAGTCCTCGTTGTCTGGACTATACAGACTGTTCCCGACGGTGGTTCCCATTTAAACAGCCGCGCGGTCCCTCTCGAAGGTCTTCGTCCCCGCTTCTAGGCTTGTTCTCGAACAGCTGGCGCGACATTCGCTTCTAGGCTCTTTTCCGGCTACAGGCACCGACAATGAGTTATGATCGCCGTACATACAAGAACCCATAGGCGTCGTACCGGGAGGTGTATAGGTTTATTTCGTAACAATACATACAAAATTTGAACACAATCGGTCTGGTAATTTCGGAGATTATCTGTTAATAAAAGTCGACGCAGACGACAGACGACAGACAGACGGGAATAGGAGACCACTTTTATGGTACTCAAACGTCAAGAAAACATGAAAGTACCCATTCGTTCGAGGACCCTACTGCAATACTTCACTTACGTTCGGGAAGTAAAAATATATAATTTGATTTTGCGAATTTTATTTTTTATGATAACCATTATAATTTAAGTAAAGAAACTCTTTATGTGACTCTCACAGTCCAGAAAAAGTGGAACAGTTTTACTACTAGATATATTAAACAATAAAAATTATAATAATAATAAATAAAATCAAGGCAGATTCATAAACTATACGTGCAGGAATATGTTATTTTATTACATTTAAATGGCATTTACTAAGCAAAATTTGGAGGTAACGTAAACAAATTATTGGCGGGAATGATTAAACAAATTTTAGTCAACGTTTTACTGTCTACACGATTTTCCTAACAGTACGAGTATATGTACTTAAAATTTACCTTCCCTAGGGACCATGAAACGTGGAGAAGACATCATTTCCGGATGGACGCTATTGTAATATTTTTATACCTTAGGAAAGTAAAATTGCGGTTTATGTGCCAAAAGTATTTGTCCAAACAAATAAAGTGATATTATTACCTATCGATCGTAAGCAACGGAAGTATTGTAATCGAGTCCGTTGGCCGACTCTCTACTTTTGCATTTTCTCGACGAAGAAATAGGTCTCCCGTTTCCGTCTGTCTGTCTGTCTGTCCGTCCGTCTGTCCATCTCTCCGTCTGTCCGTCTGTCTACCGTTCCGGATTTTTATTAGACAAATAATCTCCGAAAGTACTGGGCCGATTGTTGTCAAATTTTCTATTTATTATAGGTATATCATGTAGATGGTAAAACGATAACCAAAATTTGTCTAATCACCCCCACCACTAATGTGATGACGTCACTTCAAAATTGTACATAATAATTGGGTTTTAAATTGTATCAAATAACAGTCTTACACATGTAGTTTATGACTCCGAATTGAGATTTTACCCGAAACCTCCAGATTTTTGGAAAAAAATCAAAATAAGGAAACAACATTTTGAAATTTAATTTGGAATCTACAAAACCGTATGCTTTGAAATCTTGCAGATAGTTTACAGTTATGATAAGCATGATAAGTTTTAACACAAAAAATATTTGCTCTGTCCCTCCAAAAAATTGATTGCTCCTACGTCGCTCGCCCTGCAAACATTCCGGCTCGCCCGTAAAGGCTAATTTACTAAGCTTGCCACGTAAATAACTATTGTTTAGCGTTTGGATTTTTACACCTACTTTTTAGTAACTATTTTATCGCTTCTGATATAAGACATTTTTAAACATGCTCCTGTTGGAGTTTGTAAATCTTCGAGTTTTATAGATACGAGTTCCAAACTTGGATTAATTTATATATTATCATTACCACTGGTTGAATGGGCCGATTTTCTTTGGTTACTAAATTCCTAACCTCTCGGTTTTGGGTTGTCTTGCTTTTTTTTTCTTATCCTTGATCACCATATTTTTCTAATGAATGTCTCAGTTTCAACAAAAAATGTTTGTGAACTACACGTTATTTCAAACGTGCAGTGTGTCGCACTTCAATTGGCAACATCCCCTTAATTTTGTAACCGATTGACATATAACCTTGTTACAGATCCACATTTGAACATATTAAAATTTGCATTTACCTCGCTTTAGAAGTATAAGCAATTTTACCAAAAAAAAATTGGTAACAATAAATACGTATGCTCAACGTATTTCATTTGAGCGAATTGAATCGTTTATTTAGTTCCCACTCTATAGTGGTGGAAATATCGCATGTAAAAGTTTTTGTCTTTCTATCTTATGCACTTTGTGTGAGGCAAAGAATTACCAAGTTTTGAGTATGTCGTAGAAATTTTGTCAATTTTTAAATTTGTCATCAGGATTATTTGTCACAGACTCTTTGGTTAATTTAACGTCTTACTACTCTACTTAATTCTAAACAATGCAACGATTTAGTGATCAAACAAGATACGTCATATTAAGTATATTGGATTATCTAGAAAGAAACCATGCTGTTGTACAATTAAAAAAAAAACAAAAATGAAGACCGAAATGTTAAAAATTTCTGAAAAATCATTACATGTTCGGTTTTAAATGTATGTTCCTTTGCATCCGTAGAACTGAGGTCTCGGATTACCGCGTGTTAATATCAAGAGTCAAAAATTAACTAATATCTCATCTCTAAATCAAAAATTAATTTATATGTATCATAGCCCTCTTCCATCAAATAGTTACACTATAAGTTTCCATACAAGTATATTTCATTCTGTTTTCTTTACAGATTTTAGCTACAATGATGGAGGAGGACAAAGTGTGTCGTTTCACTTAATGTGGATGTGTGAAGAATAAATTAGTTACCTTTGAAGTACTCTTTGTACGAGCCAATCGATCAGGTATGTGTTACTGTATTTTTATCGTTCATTTAGTAAAACGGTCGTTAGCGCAAACATTTAAAAATTGGGTGTTTTAAAGACAATTTCAGTATTCAACAATTTTGAAAAAATTGCAAATTTTTATTGACGTTCACAATTTTTGAATTGCGCCCATCATTTTATCCTTGTCGTCCTCCGGTAATAGCTTATTTTGAACTTTTTTTTTTCTTTAAAACCATATAAGATGAAAAAACATACTTGCTGTTACTTGCTCTTACTACATTTTGATTGTATTATTCCACTCTTTATTATCAATTTGGAACTTATTTTCATTATTTTTAGTAATTTGATATCATCATTGATTAAACGCAAAAATATTGAAACGGAAATCTGGAAACATAGTTGAACTTATTTTGTAAATATTGTTAAACATAGTGCAATATAAAATTTTAATATACAAAAACAGTGTGTTGAAAATTTGTATGAGGTTTATCCGTTTGTAAGCATTTACAGAGAGAAAAACACAAATTCTTTCTACTTCCAACTAATGAAAAAAATATGCAAATAAACGCAGAAATACGTCAAATTAAAAAAAGTTCAATAATGGCAGTTAAAATAAGTGTAAATTTACGTACAAACCCACCCAGCTCAGAGTTGCAGCAAAGCTGCAACCCCCTTTACTGAATACTCGTAATGCTATAACATTTTTAATACCGTAATTATCGTTCATTTCTCATGATTCCTTTTCAATCGGTTCCGTTATTAGTCACGTCTGCGTTGCTAGTATTTAGAATCGCACGACTTTGTTTCTGGGTCTTCAATTAAAGCTTCGTTCAAGGATTTCGCATAAAGGCAAAGTGCTTTATTATGCATCTTAATTAAGTATTCAACAAGAATTAAGTTTTTTGGGAAGTTCCTAACGACGGTATTGTTTTGCGTAAAACTATTAATTATTGAAACTCGGTAGTTATTACCTTTTATTTTACTTTGCAACCATTAAACAATGAGAGGATTTGTACAAAAAACTTAATAAGATGAAAATTTACGCTTATATGCAGAATTTTAGAGAACGAACTTCCGTTATGGATACAGACAATAGGCTTTGAATTTTCCACGTTAACAGCAAGATCTTCGTATTGAAATAATAACGATACTAAATATATTAGTGTACCTCATATTGTGTAAGCTCATAAAATGTTGAAAAAAAAATCATATTTAGATGAAGTAAGAAGAAATAATAAAGAAAAAAATTGCGTAACCATTTTGGACTTCACTGACGTCACGAACCATCATTGTTAGTTTGGATAACTCGCATTAGCGAGCACTTCGCAGGATTCAGTTATTACATGCTTTGGTCCTGATACACAATAATTACTAGGTATATCATATCAGGATTGATTATTCGCATGTCCACAGATATTATTTCTACTAAGTATATTATTCTATTGAAATTAACAATAGCAGGAAAATGCACTCAAATCAAGCTAAACGGTTTATACATCTGGACACAGATTTTAAATTGGCTCTCAATAAAATTTAATGTTTCAACATAAAACGCTCGCGGCCCTTTTATTATTCACCAAGTGTGACAGAAATTTTATGTTACACGTGTCAACTCTAACCTGCTCTTAGTTAACAGAATTCTCAACAGTTTATTACTTCCTTTATGTTCCGTACTTTCCTTCACCATTAAGCCTTATCCAAATTTAGACGCTTCGTAAAATTAAACAAAAACAACTTATTCTAAATTTTCATAATTCCTGCTCACCTGTACTCCTCATCTCGATCCATCAAAAGCTCCGTCACAGAAAACTCCACCACAACTTCTCCAAGCTGTTTATGCAACAGGTTTGACAATGTTTCGGTTAGTTGCACCCACACGGTCTTGCCCAGCGTCGCCTCTGAAAACAAAATCCATCACTTTCCTCACAAATCATGAACTAATAAAACTTTATTACGGGCCTGTCCGTTGTTTGAAAAGTCCTTTAATATTCATTGGATCGATCAATGGCTTATACACTTACAGGATTATTTTGTGATGCTTTTAAACAAATTATTTTCCCCCACGGAGTAGAAGAACCCGAGTACTTTGGTAAAGGGATCACAGACCCACATAGAGGCAATAAAACAGACAGGACCGGCTTCGCTTTTTTTCAATTACGTTCCCGTGTTAATGTTTTCAGGCCGACATTCGGATCTGCAGTCGTAATTTAGGCGAACATGCAACGTGACGTTTTTTAAAATGTTGTTTCGATTTTACTAGTTGGTAGCGGTGCAATAAAACCAGGCGCGGGCTTACCCTTGTGAAAGGGGATATAAATATGACAAAGTCGCAGTGTCGCCGGATGGAAACATATCCGATTATGGACAGCAAGGATTCGACCTTTTTAATCAAATTTAATTAAACATAGGTAAATTAATTAAAACGTGTAGCCCTTCGTTAAAACAGAAAATTAGAGCTTTTTTACAAAACACTTGATATATTTCTTCTGTTAATGTGTGACAAAACGACAATAATCAAATGAAAAAGGGTGAGTCTAACTGCCCTAAAAGACGCGTCCGCTGTTTGAATAAGTTAAACGTTAATAAATGTTAAAAAAACATGAAATAAATCTACTAAAGTGCTGTTTGAAGGCTTTCAGCTTCTTTCTAAACTACAATAAAATTTTCCTGACACAAAACATGTAACCGTGGCAATTTTCTAAAAACAACGCGCTTTTATTTTTGGTTATGTCGAAAGAATAACGACGTGGGCCTTGTTACTCTGGCGACAATAAACTTTTCATGGCTGAAATTTCCATAAAGTATTTTTAACGCGACATATTTTATGTCTTAATTTTACTTAATCTCGGAAAATTCGCTTTTATCTGTCATGAAATTCACAATTAGGTAAAGAGAAACAGGATGGTATACCTTCGCTATTTCGTTATTCAGTACATGTATTTTCACCTTGAGTGAGTTTCTTCAACAAGCATGTATGCTATTCCGAAACATACATTCCTGTAACTTCATTTTTTATATATAGGGTAGATCAAAGTAACATGAAATATAAGCAGGATTTTTTTAAGTACAATGAAGTTATTTTCAGTAAATACAAGCAATGGTAGTTTACATAGACAGTTAGGTAGGCCACGTGCCGTATTGAAATAACTTTTATTTGGTACTCTCTCAGCAGGAGAATGTTTTCCCAAGCAGGCGGATTTATTGCAACCCACTCATAAAAATTACCGCAACTTAAGTAGCAATTAAGTCATAACCGCACTAATAAAGCTTTCGGCGAACTCTGCTCGGAAATTTTGATGGAAACAGAATAATCGAGAAACAAAGGGAGCGTTTGTGACGATTTTTCTTGTCTATTTGGGAATTTTGTTTATTATTGTATTAGATTTGTAACATTTTAAAACAATTTCAATTTTTTTATCAGTTTCACATACGTATATTTAAATATGTACCTTAAATCTGAAGCCGTATCTGTTGGCTTTCAAATTTTCAACACGTGCGAGTGATTTATGCCGCTATCAACGACCCTATTCCTAGTGGTTAAAAATAATATTGCTGCCATTTAACCTTGGTGGAAGTACTATATACAATGAAATAATACCAATTTTGTAAAACAGTTGCAACTAGAATCAAATTTTCAAATTTTGAAATTATTGTACTTGCACAGAGGTCTGAGCAAGGAGCTTTCAATTTCAAATGTTTGTCTTGTTATAAGACCTAAAAATTTTAGTTACTGGACATTGAAATCTCATAGTACCTATTAATTTTTTATCACTTAGACGAAGACAGTTCCAGATGATCCAATTACTATGATTAAAGTTATTATTTGTTATTTGATAATAAATGAGGAAGCACCTACATGCTAGTGAAAAATAAAATCCAAACAGGTCTTAACGTCAACCCTTCTGGTAGCCATAAAATTTTTTCTCTTTTCAATGTAGAATATTAGGCGTATTTATTTTCCATACAATTTATTACGTAATCATAAAATTTATCCAATGCAATTAGTGGGTTAATTCAAAAATTAACTAAGTTAAATGTAATATTATTCAATTTACATAAATAAATCGTTTTCGATTTTCTCGTCTTCCATTTTAGATGTGTAGCAGGCCCGTAACTGGTTTTTATTTCAGATCTCTATATTTCGTTTTTATTCTATTTTATTCGCTTTGAAGAACCTTTTGAATTTCATTAATTTTTTAATATTTATTTTTGGAGAATGCATTTATTATTAATTGGTTTAAATTGATGAATAGGCTAATTATTTAGCAAAAGCTATTGAAAATATTGAGGAAATAAGGGGAAATTGATAAACGGGTATAGAAATAAGATGTTATTTTGTAAACTTTAAATAGGGTTTACTCAGCAAAAGCTGAGGTGACGTCATTAAATAATTAGTGCTTGTAATAACGGTGAGCGTTTTATCATCTACACATTCTCCCTAACCACTTGTTTGAAAGAACAGAAGGCAGACGAAAATGGAAGACTCACCTTTTGATACTCTAGGAGCAACGAAATATCAATTAGCTTACGCTAAGTATTTAAGTATACTGAGCGGGACTTACTCAACGAGTAAACTATTAGAATTACGTATAAAGAATATTATGCAAAGACTAGTTCTAAGATCCAAATTAATAAGTATATCTGCTCTGCTGCAGACCAGATAACGCATAACAGGTGCAGATGTGCATCAAATATTATATTGTGTACTGATTGATTGTGCCGCAAAATTCGAAGTTTTAATTTTTATCCACTTTTGCCCTAACGTTATCTGTAAAAGCTATAAGAACTGGTAGCATTAAAATAATTATAAACAATTAAGTTGTGCATACACATAACGGACTAAATAAAATAATTTTGTAATAAATTTAGCCGACGAAACAAATAGTTGATTGTAAAAAACATTTTATACTACGGGATTTTCACTAAAAATTAGGAGTATCATTTACTGGTTTTTTGATCAACAAAATTTTGAATTTAAACATATTAGTTGGAAAACTAACATTTTTTTGTGGAAACAAATTGGTTTTCCGTTGGAAGAATTAAAACGGACCGAAAACCAAAAATTGCTCAAAAGTTAAGTAAACAGAACTTCCCTCTCCCTTGAAGTACATTCGAACAAATACAGGTTCGAAAAATTATGAAATTTAACTTAAAGAAGTATATTATGTGTATGTTTCAAGTGAGTTTTTTCTAACAAAATTTTGCTATGACGTCATCGACATTTTAGCAAGCCACTTATATCAATTTGAATAGGTGGAATGTAATACTAATAATAGCAGTATTTTATTGTGAAATTGAAATTTTCGGGAAAATAAGATGAACCGTTCTTGATTTAATCAGTAAAAAAGCTGGCATTGATCCCCGGACCTGACATCTGTGGATGTGGATATTGAGCTCGTATTATGTGTCTAAATATAACAATAATAATAAACAAAGTCAAGACAGATTTTTAGTATGTTATTTATTTATAACAAACGGACGACCTATTTTTGCATCCTTTGGGGGTCATGAAGTGTCAAGAAAAAATCAAAGTAAACAGTCGCCCGTTGGACTCAGTTAGAATGTTTCCTTAGCTTACGCGCGGAATTAAATAAAAATTTATTTGTGTGTGTGTTGTGAGTGACTGTATATCTAGTGATCCAAAATGACAAAAAGTTCGATGTAACCTTCTTCAGAAGGCTCTGAAGAATTCTAAAAAAAATAGTTAAAAAAATTCCTGTTCAAAGTTGAAGAATTAACTTCGTAATTCTGTAATCTTTTAATGTGAATTTAATTGACAGTTTAAAATTCCGATAAAAATTATATGACATATCAACATTAAAAAATGACGTTGTGGATCGTATTCTAGCAAATTACTATTAAATTATTACTATAATAATTAATTCTTTAGCTGTGCAAATTACTATTAAATTATTATTATTAACTAATTCTTTAACTGTTTATTAAATATGTAGTTCATTAAAACAATTCATCCTTTAAAGCAACAAGGTTCTTACTTATTTACCGACGAATTAATGTGTCAAAATATTTTGGTTTAATTTCTGCTACTTATAGCGATAATAATTAGAAAGTAAATACAAATATCATTTTTAACATTTTAAGTACCGCCGTCCAGTTTATTGGACACAGTGGTTTTGACTCACAGACCGCATCCATTATAGTGGACGCAAATTTGTATTTCATTCTGAAGGAACGGTCTAGGGGATTGTTCCATGATTTTCTACAAGTTCAAAAGTATAATTCAATGTTTGCAGATTTTTGTAAAAAAAATATGTATTTTGCGTAGATGGCGATACAGATGCTTCCCATACCCACTTGTATATGGTCAGATTTCTGTAACAAAATGAGAAAATGCCATCTGTGCAGTATGGTGTGCCTTTACTTTCGGATATACTGGTAAATAATCACATAATTGACCCAAAAGACTTCGAAATTTATCGAAAAAACCACATCTAGTTAACTGGACGTCGGTTTTAAAATATAAATTTTGCTACCACAGACCGCCGTCCACTAAATTGGACAGTTCCGAAAACTCAAATTTGACATTAAAATTGAATTTTTTGATCAAAAAAACATTGGGAGCAAGTGTTTTTATTTTTCTATTCATCCGAAAAAGCCGCGGTCCAGAATGAAAAACTAATAAATATGGTGCGGTACTTAAAGTGTGAAGGTTTAAAGACATTTTAAGATCAAAGTGGAACTATTTGTCAGAAGAACACATAGAGCAATATATAATCTATCGCAAGTCTTTTGAAACGCCTAGAGAAATGAACGACACCCTAACCTAAATTACTTACCATGAGTTGTAGTTAAATTTTTCACCCTTGGGTGTATCTTTTATAACTCATCTTCTCATACGAATACCTGACACCCTTGAAATCAATGGCCTTTTTTTTTAAACGTAAGTAATATTGCCATGAAAACAAAATAAACGAACCAGAATAGACTGGCTGGGTGGCTTCTTTTTATCTTTAACTGTGACTCTTATCATCTGTATTTTTCATTAATTAAATCAAGAATGTGAAAGTAAGCGAAGAAAAATGTTGCTGCCTTGGTGGGAATCGAACCCCATCCACCCCCCTTTCCAGGTAGGTGTCCTGACCACTAGACCACGAGGCCGCTTATCTTTCTCCGCTTATCAACATATTATTGTGCCGCCACAAATGGTTCACTCTATTTTTTTAATGATCAAATCTTAAGTCTTAACACTGCACGTGTCGGAATTGACATACCCGTTCTTGCTGAATTAATGTTGATTGCAACATTTTCAAATGAGAAAACTCGCCATAAATTCGGTTATTTATAATTTTTTTAATATTACTGACTAAATCGTTTATTATTGGAAATAAATTTCCAATTTCCTCAGCCACTTTATTTATACCATGAGCTAAGCATGTAATATGGATTAAGCGAGGAAAAAATACTTTTAGGTTGGATGACGCTTTGCACATGGATGTATCAGCATCTGATAACACTAATATGATTTTTTCAAATGGAATGGGTTCCGAAAGAAAAAAGTTCGTTAAATCTTCATGAATAAACCTTCTAATGGTATTATTATTTGTCTTTTCCAAAGCATTTGTGCTTATCAAATATGAAGTGCTACATTTTTCACTAGTCAAAGTTCTAATCAATAAATTTGCGAGATAACGTCCACATGAATTTTTGAAACACTTTGTCGACGTAGTTTTGTCCTAGTGTACTCTCATCCGGAACTGAATGAAACGGGTAAATGACAAAAAGAATAATTACTAGAAGGATGCTACCGGAAGAGTTAAATAACGGAGATTTCAGATAATTTTAAATTTTAAGTCTTCATTACTTGTTTTTCCAGGTAAAAATTCTACTGAATTGGTCTGTCTTGGTCTACAAAAATAAGTATGCATAAATATGCACTTAATCGGTAAATATGCAAAATGTGCATTTTTTTAAGCCCATTGTTTAAAAAAGGAAGTTATATGGCCAGAAAACATCGTTTTTTCCGAATATGCTACATTTTAAGGAATATGCATTTTGCATACAATCTGAGCCTTAATTACACGTTCAGCGGAACCCTAAGTTCGAGTAAATTGCTTATAACAACGTTTCCTCAGTCCATCTTGTCATAACGTGTATCAAGTCAGTTCCTATATACGAGGAAAATATTTTTGCTCCGGAATTTAACATTTTCCCAACCTGATCTGTCGTAGAGTTAAATTCACGGCGACATATTTATTGCATAGCTCGCATGTAATATACTCTCTCGGTATCCCAGATAATGGCATTTATTAAGTCAGTACATCGACTATATCCACAGTGAAAATATTTTTCGTTCTTTCGCCATAAATTTTTTTACCCAATTAAACCTCGGAAGCAGATGTTTACACAACTTATCTAACAATAGCAGTATACCGAATCAAAGTAAACACGCAAAAATAGACTTTTTAATAAAATTATTTACTTAGGACGCTCTTCCATCCTTTTATTTTTTTAAACGCCGGTGGGCGGATAACACTTACCTATATCTGAATTGGTAATTTCATTTTCCACCTTGTTATCAGCATCCACGTGATAGCTAACCTGAAACCAAACCGATATCTCTTGCCTCCGATCAATTATTAAAACTCCTCACCCTCACCACCACGTCAGTCGGTTCATATTTAATGTCGTAGTTCTGCGGAACGAAGGAATCTTGTTTGAGTACGAGTCCAATTTTACCGTTAGCCCTGACATTGTTGAAGCCGATCCTGCAAAAATAGACGCTCGATTAGCGAATTCCATTAAAAATAAATCTCTCCGGAGAGATTCAGCTTCTGGGCCAATCAGGCGCAGATCATCAACAACAAATAAGAATTTATGGCCCAGTTTGACCAGATCTATAACTTACACTATACGACCTACATGAGATACTGGCAACCATCTTCTGAGGGTTGTGTTGTTGGCTTCGTATTCGCCTTCGATTCGTAAGTTGCCGAGATTCAGACTGAGGTCTAGGCAGGACATGGGCAGGTCACATGACATATCCAGGATGCGAAAGTCGGGGATCCACGGGAACTTTAAGTTGCGTAATTCACTAGAATGGACGGATGTTCATCATCTGGGTTAATGTGTTCGTGAATGGAAGAGTGTAGCTTTTTAAACGAGATTAAAGTAAGCGCATAAAACTGCTCTTCCTATTTTAAACTAGGGCAGATAAGAGAAAACAGTATTTAGCTGCTCGAAAAAAATATGGTTTTGATAATGGAAGGGGACAGTTTTGAGTACATTAAGAATTTTTATTTGTTTAAAATATGTACTATTATTTTAATTTTGCAATATGGCGAATTTCACTTTCTTTTCCTTATGTTCATTTGACGGTCATTTATTAAACAAAATTTCAATTTAGACTGAAAAAAATATTAAGAAAATTGGAATGACGTGGCAACGTCGCCTCGATTTTTCAAAAATAAAGTCTGATAAAGGTTACTATTAGTAAAATGGTATGTTACGCCTTAAGAACAGAATAGTTGAGAATAATTTTAGGGTATGGTCATCCAAGGATGGAACAATTTTAGCCTTTAATTTTTTTTTCTGTTTCTAATAATTAAGATGGTATCGCGGAACGCGCGTTTAGGGACTCACCCTGTATATAAACAGAATAAAATTTTACGAGTTTACAATCCTCTAGAATGAATACTTTTGAAATTTCATTAATAAACCACCAATCTTCACTTAGGCCAGTTTCATAATAAAATTAAAGTTCCTTTAAAATTTAAAGTGAGTTATTGGAAAATAGATCTACGATCAGCCCAGACATTATAAAAGATAACCTGGTGCTACGTTTTTCGTGTTTTAGTAATATACCTATTGTTATTTTTTGGGAGCTTTATAGGCTGTCTTAAAAAATAATCAATAAATCAATGAATTTTATTGATTAATTATATTAACAATAGTTTATCCCATTTTCTGAAATTTTGGGAACACAATATTATTGGTTTAAGTGTTACGCTGTACGTACCAAAATTAATAAAGTTCTTGTTATTAAAAGTTAATATCGTCATCATAAAATTTTTGTATTTCTATTTCATCGAAATCTCATGCACCACATTGTCAAAAGTGTTAAAACAGGTCAGGTCAGATCAGGTCGTTTAAGTTTAAAACGGTTAAAATTTACTAATGACCCAAATTTTTATTTTTTTCTGTCTGTCTGCCGCCACAACTACCAAACCGATTGTATCTCACCAACAACATGATGACGTAAGTGGTACTTAAATTTTATAAAATAATACTTTCCTGTACTTGTGGTCTATGAATCCGCTTGAGGCTTTCCCTGAGAAATCCAAATTTTCGCAAAAACCGAGACTGCATAACAACGTTTTATATTATTATCCGAGCTCCCACAAGATTGTTCGTCAGTCATTGCTTACAGTGTGCGACTTCAGATTTCTAACGCAAAAATCGCGCAGGTTCGATTGTGTCATGAACCTTTTTCTTTTTACACTGTTACTACTATCATCTATATTTTTTATTGTTTAGTACCACATTGCATCTGTGGGGATTGACAATTTTGACATATTTTATGTACCCTTGCTGAAATAATGTTGATCGGAACATTTTCCAATAGGAAAATTTATTAGAACTACAGACATAAACTTGTCCTGTATCAATACATTCATATTTTTGAAGCAATTGTTAATACGTTCCCTATCAATTAGGTGGAGAAACGCAGTCCAAATCAACTTTAAATGAGTGAACAGGGAATGTTTTCGTAACATAATGCGTTCGAATCAAAGGCAGTGGCGGAGTATGAGTGATTAAAGTATGATGCATTAATGATGAATTTAGAAAAACAAAGTCTACAAAAATCTATAAGAAGTATAGGGTGTCATTTAAAAAAAGTTTGATGGCGTATATGGTCGTGAAGACATTCTGCATCTGAAACTTTTGAGGTTAACAAGTTTAAATAATTTGTAAGTAATTTTACTAAGAAGAACTGAGAAAGAAAATTTTTAGAGCAATTGGTAGATTACTGAATTAGTAAATCGATTCAGTTGTAGAAAGAAACCAGATGCTTATAGACGATATACGAGTAGATGAAAACAGTATATGTAACTGTACAGCTTGATTACCTAAATATCGCTTGATCAGAAATGACTAAGTCTGTTGGCAATCCTGGATTTTTAGTTGAAGTTGGTACCATAATGTTTTCTATAATTTCCCGTTGTCAGTTGTCAAGATTGAGAGACTGTTGACATTTTTAATTTGCAAAATGTATCCTAAACATAACCTAAATTTATCGCATGTCACGACTGATATATCTGTCCGTTATGCCAACATAAACGCAAGAAAAGTTCACATTTTTGTTTAAAAAGTACGTACTACCAACTACTCAATCATTTCTGATCACGTGGTATTTTAAACAATATTTTAAGATGACGTCATGAATTTTTCGTACCTCAACTTAAATCAAGTCGGTTCGATAGTTCCGGAATATCTAATAAAAAAGCCAATAGAGAAATATTTTTATATTTGTTATTCAAAAGAGAGGAACAACTAGAAAATTTGTATTACTGATTGTTGATTATACCGCATGATTTTTTAAATTTGACTTAAAATGAGACTTTAGAAATAAAATATGTAAAAAACGTAGGGTGTAGTTTAATCATTATTGATTATATAAATCTGACTATCATTGACACAATTTGAGGTTAAACTAACTAAACTACGCCTTATATTCTTCACATCTTTTGTTTCCAAAGTCTCCCTTTATGTCCAATTCCGCACATGTATGTAACTGATAAAAAAATTAAAATCTTAAACATAAAAACCAAATTTAATGCAAAATCTTGAAGATTTTTTTACTAGATAATAGGCCCAATTCTGAATCAAACCTGTTAAAATTTAAAGGTTGTTAAAAAATAAACAGCCAATCAGATTTACGAATTTAACTCGTTACTATGGAAATTTGCAATTTAACACCCTTTAAATTTAACAACTTTGATTCAGAATTGCACCTATTAGATATTTATTTAAGTATAAACAGGGTAAGTCACTAAACACGCGGTCCTCACTATTTATTATTTAATTATTAGAAATAAAAAAAGTCACAGCCTAATGTTTTAACGTTTTTTGAGTAGGATACACTAAAATTGTTTTCGACTATATTAAACTGTACGGGATGTCTGGAGAATGGCGGATTAACTCTCGGCTTCGCTTTTAACAATCAACTGGTGAGTCGGGGAAAAATAGCAAAAAAAGTCCCTTGTCACATTTTGGTGGAATTATAATGATTTTAAAATTGGTTCTTTTGCTACGTTTAACAACTAAACAACACATTCATTATCACAATAACTAGTAATAAACTTTTAGTTAATATTTCTCTCGCCCATGACCATGTTTAAAAAATGTGAAAGTGCTTTCAAGCCTTGGTGTCTTTTCTTATAATATTTAATTAAATTTCTTAGAGGATTTGTCATTTGTCAAAATCAGTCTTAACAGGTACGAGCCCGCCCACCCCCCTCTCTTTTCGTAGAGGGTGTCATTTGCCAAAGTCAGTTATATCTTAGCAGATACTAGCCCCGCCCACCCACCCTCTCTTTTATTAGAGGGTATGTTATTTGCCAAAATCAGTCTTTACTTAGCAAGTACTAACCCCGCCCACCCGCCCTCTGTTTTCTTAGAGGTATGTCATTTGCTAAAATCAGTTTTATCTTATCAAGTAGTAGCTCCGCCTACTCACTCTCTCTTTTCTTACAGGGTGTCATTTGCCAGAATCAGTTTTATCTTAGGAAGTATTGATAACTAACTTTTCTAAAAAATGATCAAAAATTGGAAACATTACAAGCTTACTTATACGCACAAGGCAGCAATTTTGAACGACCTCTTAGTTGGTTAAATACTTTAATGGATTTTTCTTTTATTCGTTTGGTTTTTGCTTATAATTTATAAGATACAACTGATTTTGGCAAAAAACAGAACCTCTAAGAAAATAAAGGACGGGTGGGGCTAGTACTTATAAAGATAAGACTGATTATTGCAAATGATATACCCTCTAAGAAAATATAAGACGGGTGGGCGGAGCTAGTACTTTCTAAGATGCGACTGATTTTGGCAAATGGCATACCCTCTATGAAAATAAAGGGCGGGTGGGTGGGGCTAGTATTTGCTAAATAAAGACTGATTTTGACAAATGATATACCCTCTTAGAAAATAAAAGGTGGGTGGGTGGTCCTAATACTTGAAAAAATAAGACTGATTTTTGTAAATGATATACCCTTTAAAAGAACAGAGGGCGATTGGGCGGGACGTGTACTTGCTAAGATAAGACTGATTTTGTTTTTTTTGGTTTATTTACTAGTGAAAAATAACAGCTTGTTTCATTAATAATAATGTATAATTAATGACTACTGCTGTTATGGTAATTGTCCTAAAAAAAATAATACCCATACACAACGTACTAAATTATAATCCGCCATTTTCCAGACACTCGGTATTGTTTTTGGGGATTGCACACAATTTAGTTTTTTTTTTTTTTAATAAAATATCCTACATATTTTTAGAAATTTCTGATTATCCTCGACCTAGGGTTTATAACCATTTTTGGATTTTGGATCGCAACAATTTAACAATAACATTTTGATCTTGTTGCAGTAAAAAAGGGCAAAAGATCGCAATAATTGCCAACTTTAAATGTTGACAATAATACTTAACAAAATGGAAAGAGAACGAAGAATAGAATAAGATGCAGTAAAAAATACAAAGTGTTACAGTGTTCTATTTGAAAAAACTGAAGTATTGATATTTGAAAACTGTAACAATTTAAAAATGTTTTATAAACACTCTGTATTTTATGACTAAATTTTATTTTTACCACAATAAAGCACGTACCTTTATTTGTCTCACCAGAAAATATTGTAGGACACATTTTTAAAAATATCCAGTGCTAAAATATTTCGAGAAATTGGAAAAAGATGAAAACTTTGAATCGGAATTTAAGAAAAAACTGAATTATAAAACCTAAGAAAAGTTTAATAAGAATTGTTTGTGGACCTCAAAGTAGCTTTCGATATGGTAAATAAAATGATACCGTAGAAA